TCGGTACCCATTGGTAGAAAACACGGTAGAGGCTGTTTGCATCTTCGGTAAAAAAGAAAAGTGATCAACGGTTTGAAGACACGCGCTACTAACAACTAGCCATAGCAAGCTACTGATCGAGTTGACAACTAAGGACGACTCATGTCTTTACTATAATGACCAACTAAGGAAAAGAAGAAATTATTATATGTGTTAATATTTTCGTTTAGAGAAATATTTTGAGTCTTTGCTTTATGTGAAGAAAAAAGAAATGGTTTTTGTATTCTAATTATGAGACAATATTAAAAATATCAGAGAAGATTTGTTTATATGTAGAGTCATTTTCGACAAGATAATAATGGCTTTTATGTTGAAAGTCAACATCGAGTAATCTCTTTTTGAAGAATGATATAATATATTAAAAAATTGGCCCGTATTTGTTTTACAAAAAAAAAAAAATCACTCTATATATGCAATGATATACACGGACAAGGCTAAATGAACTCAATTTCTCGAGCTAATCTTGACTACAGATATATTATTTTACATTAAATGTATTCACTCAATGAAATATGAACTTAGGCTTCAGTAGCTATGATTAAAGTTGCTAACTACTAGTCTACTTGTCTTTCAACTAACTAAGCTACTAGATCTGGAATATATAAACTTAATTGGGGCTATGAATTATGTTTCAGTGAGTTACAAAAATGCTGTCATATCAAATAGGGTGTAGCTTTTTTGTTACACCCTTATAACTCATAACTAAAGTTATATCCTTATAACTACCTTAACCCTTATATCGTTTTGTATGGAGTTTAATTATAAGACAAATAATGTGCATAATATAATAGCATAATAATATAATTTAATAATATAAATAAAAATAATAAATAATATAAATATAAAAATAAATTAATATAATAACCCTTTTGTATAACCCTTTTGTTAACAATAAGATATATAATGTGCATAATATATTAGCATAATAATATAATTTAATAATAATAATAAATAATGTAAATAAAATAAGAATATAATAATAATTAATATAATAGTAATAGTATAACAATAATATATAATATAATAATAATAATAATAATAAAATAATTATAAATATATAAATATAATAAATAATAATAAGTTAGTTCTTCTTTATTAATAATTTAAAAAAATTTTTTTTTTATTAATAAAAAAAAATTTTATTAATAATTAAAAAAAAATAATAAATAATAATAACCTTTTTGTATAAAGTTAACAATATGTGTATATAAAAATTGTTATTATATTTTAAAAACATTATTAACTTCTTTCTCTAATAGTACTTTGTTTTATTTTTATATGTTTTATACAATTGCAACACAATAAATAATTTAATATTTTTAAAATTAACTTGTGTAATAATTTACTATTTATTATAATGACTAACAATAAGGAAGTTACTTAAATATTTAAAAATTATAGCAAAATGTAATTTGCGCAAATGAAATAAGGTTAATGAAGACTACTTAGTTACTTCAACTTTTAACTAAAATTCCATAATAGTATAATAGTTTGTAATACTATTAAGCTTCTTTTAAATTAATTCACCTTACAATAAATATGTATTTTATTATTTAATAAAAACTAAAAAAACTAAAAAAAAGTCATATGTGATTGTCCACTTAAAGCACTCAGCTTTTCAGCTATAGTTCACTAGTATTATCTTGTCCTTGTTATTACGAACTGTTATTTTTCCAAGCACTTAGACATGCACTTCAGTTGTCACTGCTATTAACAGTTTGTTGTTACTTTATTGTTATTATTTAAGTTTATTAGTGTGGTTATGGTAACTGTTGGTGGCTCACAGCTTTGTTGTTGGGTTCATTTTTGTTAGTATTGTTGTTGAGGACACCTATTGTCATGTGGGCACTGCGCTGCAAAGTGAATTCATAAATGCTCATTTTATGTCACATTTTTTGCTTGTTGGTTACAAATGCAAGTGAAGCCATCAAAGCAGGCAATGTCACCAACATGAACAATAACAATCCGCTTAGCTTACATATATTTACATTACACCTTAACCTACATAACAGTATAACAGTACTATACAACAGTACATAACAGTGTAATGGGACACTAAAAACAAACATTTTAAAGTAAACCTAGCCAGTAACATATATACGTACTCATACATGCACAATACTCGAGATTTATTAGTAACTTTTGCTGTTGATAACACAATTCGAATACAACACATTTACATTAATTTATGTAGCTTGAGTGTGTCAAACAGTGGTGGTTCTGTTTTGCGGAAAATGGGTACTGCATAAACCATTTGTAATATAACTAAAAGCTTTTATTTATGGTATTTTTAAATATTTATTTCTGATTTTTGTTTAAATATTGAACACTAAAACACTAAAAATTTCTTATCTGTTCTTATAACAGAAATACTTACAGCAAAGGTCAGATGTCGTTGACTTAATAATGTTGCATTTGTGTGCATTTTTTGAGTCTTTTGCTAATGCGTTGTGTAATTGTTCTTAACATTGCTACTGTTCGCTTATATGTGCACTGATACCTTGATAGCTTAATAAAGGGCTTAAAACATTTTTATCTCTCTATCCACCACTGGTTTTAATGGTAAACCAAACTTTATAAGTTTGTCACATTTAAGATATTGCCGATAGTGTGAAAATATCATACATAAGGTTGGATCTTTGTCATTAATTTCATAAATGGTTAACTGCAATGTAAAAAAATGCTTAGGTGAAGTTCATAATTTTTTTTTTCAGTGCAATTGCCATTGCTCTATATTCTATTAAATTTTTAATGGCAACAATAGTTCAATATATTTTCAAACTCAATGCCCGAATGACCTCATTCACTCAAATAATTTTTAGATAGATAAATTAATAAAATATTATATGTAAAAGTGTGGAATGCAAATTATAAATATTGTTGCAATCTATAATTAGTTAAAAGTTTTAATGTTATGCATATAAAGCGTTTAGTTTAGTTAGTCATCTTCCAATTTCAGGTGTTGGATGCAATTATTTTATTCCAGTTAGTTTCGAAATGAAAACTTAAGGAATCTAGATAGTTTCAGTAAGACAATGAAAGGAACAAAGCTTGGCTTTTTAACTACATCTTCTTTTAGATTACAGGCAATTATGTACAGAAAGTAAATGCCGAGTCATTTGAATGCGGTATTATGTTATTTATTTACCTGATTTTTTTGAAACTTTTAAATTAAACTGAATTTTTAAATGAAATTTTTAACAAAACTCTTCAATTCATGCGAAGTATTCAATGAATCTTTTTTCATTATGTAAAAGATTAAGAATAGCAAATTTTAGAACAGTTTGACTTACTACTGTCAAATGAGCGGAACCGGAAATATATATAAACAGGATCCACAAATATACTCTATTTGTGGTTATGAAGCATTTTAAAACTTGAAATAAATATTAATAAGATCCAAAATACCATATATGGTAGTTATGATGCATTACGGAAATTGAAATGAATTTAAATAAGGTCCACAACAGGTTATTTGTAGTAAGAACGCATCATAGGACTTGAAATAAATGTAAGTGGAGTCTAAAGATTATTTTATTTATTAGTTACGATGTATTCTATGATTTGAAACAATAAATAGGATCTATTAGAGTATATTTACTAGATAGAGGTTGGTTGAAAGGTCTTGAAAGCAACATCTATTGTCCAGTAGAAGAATCAAAACTTTTACGCCATTTTGACATTTTATTTATCATATGAACACACCCAGATGCTTATTTCGATATATAATAATTCGTTTTATTTTACAAGCCATTCGAAACCGATGTGTTGGTGATTTATACAGTACCGAAAAAGATCGAATATCCCGGAGTGATAAATTTTTTTGTTTTAGAAAGTTTATCATCAACAGATGATAAAGTGAAAGATACATAGGGGATTTATTAGCCAAAACTACTATTTAGTTTAGAGCTAGAGAGATCCGTAGATCGTACTAATTTAAAAATAAAGTTGTCATATCACCATCAAAAATGTTCAGTAGGTAAAATGCCATGACAAAAAAGTTTTTCGTAAAAATTTGTGAAGATGCTATAGAGAGGTTTTGGTTTTAACAAGATGGTAGAACGTACCAAACTGCTGGCGATCGAACTGTTGAAGGAAGCATTCAATGATAGTACTAAGTCAAGAAAGTGACCTGCAGACTGGCTTATAAGATCGTGTGATTTAAAGGTGCTGGGCTTGCTTTGGAAAAGTTTACTCTTGGAAGAAAAAAAAAGAAATATAAGTTCATGAAATTTAAACTTATGAATACATTTACGACTTGAGTATGTTAAATTATTACCGATTGCAATTAATTTATTCTACGAAATGAATTTCCTGCAATTTCAATATGTTAATTAATTTTATTCAATAATTTGCTAAATAAAGTATAAGTGACGATGAATAATGTTAAAATAAAAATACTTTGCCAATTTGTTTATTATTATTGAGATCCAACTTTAAAAGACTACAAAAATCTTCTATAAGTTTAAGCTCCTTTGTAATATACAACCAATCCAAGACGTCAATGATAGAAATTGTCCATATATCTTTTGTATTAACGAATCTTATTTATGTTTGGCTTAGAATTTATTTAAGTTTTGTTTCGAAAAATTTTCTTAATAGTTCTTATTATAAAACATTAACAAGCAATACATATTATTATTTTGGTTTTAGTTTACTAAAAAATTACGATTACATAGTTTGTCAAGAAAATGTTTGCAAATATTTATCAACTTTAATTAAAGAAAAATCTCAATAAAAAGAGCATCAAATACTTCCGGATTGCGTATCTGGAAGAGTTAAAAAATTTATTGATTGCTTTTGCAAGTATTTCCTTGACTTTGTTCTTAATCCTAAAAAGTATTGATAGTTTAGAAGAAGTCGAAATTGTTTACAACTGTAAAAATAAAACCAATAAGAAAAATCAAAAACACATTCACAACCACAACAAATTTACGTCCAATACACAAATCAAATCATACCATTGTAGTGGACCGGCGTCTCTCTAGTATAGGTGTATATTTTCTTTGACGACGACTGTTGCGATTGCCCTGAGGAATGTGTTAAAGTTAGGATGACAACAAATACGCTGGCACATACCAGACACAGGAACACGGTCATTACAGTGCAAACGATACGTTTACGTTTGCGATCAGCTTCTTCGTCTTCATCGGTCTCTTCACTCAGCGATTTCTTTTTCAACGCTTTGCGTGTACCGGTCAACGATGATTTTCGTCCGGCCACTTTGTGATGAAAAGGTCGTAGTACCTGTTCAAAAGCTGCATCACCTATTTCATATGTTAGCGATGGTTTACGTTCGAACGATGGACGTTTTTCTTCAATAAATGCAGCAGCTGTTGATGTGGATGCTATTGCCATAGGGCGTGGACTACGTTTTATATCTTCAATGCTAGCACCGGGTACAGCACTCGATAATGGACGACTATTGCGTCGGTGGGGTGATGTAAGCTCAAAGTCATTGCCACTTATAGGCGGTGGATATGTGCCATCTCCAATAAAGCTTTTCGATTTCTTCGTAGCGCTTAAGGTTTCCCTGTATGTGCGTAGGCGTACACTAGCGCTATGAAGAGCTTTGGCTTGTTTTGCACTGGCGTTGGTGCCTTGAAATGCAGCAGCAGCTGCTAGTACGCCTGGACGATGAATTTGCAGTTCTTCGAGATTACTTGGCGATAAGTAAAGTGAGCGACCATGTTGTGCGCCACGTTTAAAATGATATGCTGCCGTCGCCGCTGCAGCAGCGCTATGTAATTGTATTGTGCGTGATGGATGTGCATGTGTTGCCGCAGCAGCTGCAGCAGCAGCAGCGGAAGTTGATGGTCTGCCATCAAGTTCAAGACTATGTGAACTGTGTTGCCGTGAATGTGGATGATCACGTTTTTTTATGCTGGTTGATGATGCAGGCGGATGGGTAGCACTATGCGATGTACCATCTTCAAACGAACCGGAGCTTTTACGTATCATAGCAGCACCACGTTGTGCTGGCATATCGGCACCCACATTTTCCATTTTCGTATGACTATTACTACGTGAACGTGACTCTATAAAAAGTTCATTTTCTAATGATAAATTTGTTGGTGCAAACAGTGGTGGTCGTCCATCGAGAGATTCCATAAGTTCATCGTTTAGTGATGGATGACGAATTTGTGATTCAACTACGGACTCAGGCTTAATACTTGGTCTACGAGATGGATCATTAAAAGATCGATGTGATCTGCAACCACGTCTACTAGGTGATGGAGAACGACTTGTGTCTTTAGAGGGATGGCTGGGCATAAGAAAATTTCCACGTACGGAACTTGTGCGTCTGCTGGATGCAGCTGAGGAGCCTTGTGAATTAGGACCAACTATTAAATGGTCCATACCACTGGGATCTTGTTGTGCATGAAAAGAATGAGTTTTTTTTATTTGATAACTAGAGGCAGGATGCACATCAATAGTGTCCGAACGGCGAAACATTGATTTTTTTAAAGGATGTGTAGCAGTGGCTGTATGTCGATGCGATGGCGGTAGCATATAGTCATCAATGAATTGTATTGGCGATGTGCTGCCACCAATAGCACCTACATCGTCACCAAGACTACTGCTAACTAAATAAATGTCAGGCTGTACCGGACTGACGACATGCGAAGTTGGTGAACTTGTCGAACTGGAGTGCGGATGTGCATGCTGGCGCTGACGCGCTTGTGTTGCCAAGTGCTGAAACGATAAATGTTGTTGGCGTGCTGACAGTGCTGGTGAAACGGCACCACTGCCACCACCGTGCATTTGGTGCTGATGGTGTGCGGGAAGTGCAAGTGTTTGTGGCGGTGGTGCTGAACGTATGGGAACTGGCGATAACGAACGATGTTCAATAATCATTGAATCATCAAACAACATATGCGGTGGTGAAGTACCACCAACAATACCTTGTGGTGCATAATTATCTATAGCCATTGAAACCGAACGATCAATGCTCTTCAATTTAGGCGGTTTTTTCTTTGTTGCAGGATTGTCAAATGAAGATTGAATTTTATGTTCATCGGATGTTACGTTGGGATGGCCGGCAGCAACATATTGGTGATGACCACCGCCGGCACCGCGCTCCATACGGTAGAAGTATTGATGTTGGTGTCTATTGTAATAATGTGCAATGGTGGTGCTGGTGTGGGATTACGAGCGGGAAAAGGTTATAATCTTAGCTTGTTGACACCGTTTGTAAAAAACTGAAGTGCGGTGCTTTTGTGCGTTAAGTTTACGTATTTCTAATTAATTGAAAGTGTGTCAAAATGTATAAACTAAAGTGCACTTTACGGCTTTTTATACTTTTGTGCAGCAAATATACGAATACACAGATACACTCAGAATGTATTTCAAAGCAATTTAATTTTGCTATATTTTTTCTATCTTTTTGTGCAAGAGTTGGTGCGTTGTTGTTTTTTCTGTTCTATTATTTCTGGTGTTAATTTTTTAAATTAAAATTGTTTTTTTGTTTTAAATGTTTTAAATGTTCAACTTTCAGATTTTATAGTGCATTAAATCAAATAATGTGCAAATTTTGTCTAACATTTACTTATTGTCACGTGAGTTTCTTAATTTTTGTTAATTTTTTATTAATTAATCACGGCTTTTTTTTTTCTTTATTTTACAATAAAATCACAACTAGAAGAGAAGAAGCAAAAAAATGTTAGTACGAAAAATCGTTAAGTGTAAAATACTTAAGTGAAAGTGGAAAAATACGTGAAAAAATACGTGAAAAAGTGGTTAAAAAAATAAAAATATAATTTAAATTTAAAGAAGTTTGTGAAATGTTAAAAGAAGGAAAAATTAGATATGTTTTATGCAAATTGAACCAAGTTTTATATTTTGTAGTGCATTTTTTATTTTTTTTTTGAATTTTTAATAAATGTCATTTTAGTAGAGCACGTCTCTAATTGATTGATGACCAGGAACATGAGCAGCGAAAATGTAATTTATTCATGTGCAATGACAACACCTTTTGTTATTAGTTATGATGACCGTCCCGGAGCGATGAATGGATGCGAATGCTAAGCAATCGACGCTTAAGTTTAAAAGGATTTCATTTTTATTTTTTTTTAATTTTTTTAACATTTTTTTTACATTTTTTCAGTATCGAAATTTATCACTTGGTTATGTCCCTAAATGCTTGCAAACATTTTTGCATAATTTGTTGCTGTGTACATATTTGACATTTTAACAGTTGACTACCATTGCGAATTGGTGCTCAACCCCAACTTTAAGCTCTTCCTTAGCGATTTTGGGTTAATGGTTTCAAAACTGCAATAAATGGTTTGGGTAAAATATTTCAATATTTTCAGAAATATTTCTCATTTTCACAATCGTAGTGATGAAGATGATTACTTGCTTGAGTGATGTTTATAGAAGTTTCGAATGGGAATATTACTTTAATAAATTAAATCGCACTGGGTTATTCATCAGTTTTAGGATACTAAACACTTCTTACTGTGCATATTTTAGTGTAATTACTCTAAATTGTTATATTACTGGTTTCTATAAATAATTCAAATGAACATAAAATTAAATTGAATTAAAAATTATTCATTTTTCACAGCAAAGTAACAAAACAGCTTTGCGTCGGTTGGTTAAGGTGCTCTGACTCTGAGTTTTAAATTTGGCAGGACACGAGTTTGATTCCTGCTAGTTGCAGTCCCAAAAAAACTTTTTACGAACAATTAAATACAAGAACTATTTCCGAGACCATTTATTATGCATATTTGACAATACTCGAAACAGCTGTATGGTCAACTAAAAATTCAATTAATTCAAATAATATAAAATGAACTTTTGTTGTTGTAGTTTCAGTACTGTTCGAAAAATCTCTTTATTAAAAATTATATATAATTTTTCATAATTAATGAAAAATATAATTTGTACGCATAGTTATATACGCATAGTTTTAGGAATAACATTTAAAGAATAGATAACTTATATATAGATGATCAACGTTATATAATATAACGTCATTCATATTTTGAAATTGAATCGTTTAAGACTATCTTATACAAGAAGAAAAATTGTCTCAACAATCACTCCTAGCCTATTTGAACGGGGTAATTGCAAGTGAAAAACGTCTCGTTCGAGTCTTTAACCTTAACAGTGTTGCAAAACTACGTATTATTGTTTGTTAGAAAAATCTGTATTTGCGACAGAAATACAGTTTATAAATACTATATTTAGTACATTTAGTAATACAATTATAATTACTATAATTGGTATTTATAATCGTGCGAGAGTATCTGTTCTTCAGTTTTTTTTTGAAAAAAATGTGTGACAGGGAAGAACTCGTTAGGGTTTCTTATCACTAGAGTATTACAAAACTTTATGATGATTGTCGAAAAAGCACTGTATCTGCAGTAAATACAATTCGGAAAGTTTAAAAGGTTTAAAACGAATGAAATTCATGACTGCATTGCAGAAAAAGAATGATTCTTCAGTTGATCAATATTCAAATTTACGATCGATGATTTTTCTCTTTAATAGTTACTTAGTTTCAGTTAAGTTGAAAGGATATAGTAAAATATTTAAATTTTAAATTTAAATCAATTCAAAATTTCTTTAAAATATTTGTTGTGTACTAAATAAGCTTTCTTTATATATGAAGCTATGTATTCAACAATTTGGTTAATTGCTGAAATACCATATTCTTCCATAGAACGTACAATGCATCGAAGAAATCCTTATAATTTATGTAAGCATTTGTTATTCTAAGTATTTGTTTGTGGTACATGTCTTTATTCAAAAACATATACAATGCATGTTAACCATCTTCGTCGCTGCAAACTACAAAGTCAGATGTATTGTTTATCTACGCAAATAGCAACAGAAATAGAACATTTTCATTCATCTTAAGCCGCAGTAATTTCAGTATTACAAAAACGATTCATTAATGGCTTCACTTTCTGTAGAGATAAGAGCCTTTGAAGGATAACAGATGTTGTATATGAGAAATTCGATTATTGGAATTCAGATTGCATTTGAATTTCTTAGCTGTATTACTATTTCAAAGGAATTTTAAAGCTTATAAATAAAAATTTTTTATTGCAATACAAGAATTTACTATTCAAAAATTCTTCTATTAGTAAAAATAAAATTATTTAAATACTTAGAAAAAAGTACGCAATCATATTATGCAACATTATTATATATTGTTTTTAGTCATTCGATTATTGATATAAAAATATATTAAATTAATAATAATTCTAAGAAAAGTATGAAATCATGTTATGCATTTTTTTTGTACATTCTTTTTACTTATTAGATTTTTAAAATAAAAATATATTAAATAAATAATAATTATATGAAAAAGTTTCCCTGATATTGTGTGGTAATAAAATACTACAAATAATCATATAAGTAATATACACAAATGAAGGATAACGTAACGCTATAAAAATTGTAGGATTTTTATTCTATAAAAACATTACGTCTCTTACTTAAGCTTAAGTCTCTTACAGACATATTGGCATCACTATTGCAATTTATCAAATATATTATTACAAATAAAAATTATTACTTATGTTAAATTCAAGTCAAACTAAATTCTGCATAATTTTCAATGTTCATTAAAAAACTAAAAATTTAAATGAATATTGAATTAAAAGCAATCTTCTCAATGGAAATTTCAGAAAAATTTTAAATTTCCTTTTATAACAAAATTACCTACATACTTAACATATATGGGCATAACAACTCATCCGATTTCGGTCTTACATATCATATCACACGTCCATGCTTTTGAGATACATAGAAGCACAGATAGGATAAGTAACCTATAGAGCTCAAATTTTGTCTTTCTCGAAATTTTTTTTACGTCTCAATTGCCTATTTAGATCATAGTATCACTTATTGATAATAGTGATCTCTAAGTCCGATCTCTAAGCTGATATCGTTGTTGTTTTTCACATCGGTGCTAAGGGAGATGAAATCCTTGACAGATTGAAAGAATCATCCTTAGTTACAAGTTGATTTCTACTAGTAGCTGATATATTGTTTGTTTTGCCCTCATTCACCTCTAAGTCCATCTTCGGAAATTCTTTTTTAATAGCAGCAAAGGCAGCTGTAACATCATCCTTGATACGCCTAATGAAGTCGATGTCATCGATGTAAGCAAGAAGTTGGACACAATTGTGAAAAATAATGTGATTACTATGAACACTAAGCCTGTGTATCATTACTTCCACGAGGAAATTGAAAAGATCATATGATCATACAATATCTAAAGACTCGCACGGCATCCAAAGGTAAGGAGGACTTAATCCTACCTTGTCGGAGCTGCTCAATTTCATTCTAAGGAGTCCTATTAACTTTGTAGAGATACCTTATGAGACTATCGAAGATAGCTATATGATTGACAAAAAGATGATGGGTGTCGATGTTGCGTTTTTGGCCTTTTTATAAAATGTGTCGCAGCAACTATTTGGCAACTAGATTGACAGCTGTACTGATAAGACACAAACAGTGAGTTGACATCTAACTTCCACAGAGAAGCGACCAGATCAAAAGCCGCACTGATAAGACCCAAGCATTGAGTTAACATGTAACTTCAACCTTTCACACAGTACAATTGAAAGAACTTTGTACGCGCCAGGAAGTTGGATAATTCCGTGATTTTTTTTGGCGCAAATTAATTGTAAAAAATATTAACTTATAAATTTTTTAGTTTTAAATTTTAAATTTAAATAAAAATTAATTTTTTTTCCTAATTTAATTAGTGAAAATTATAAAATTATAAAACTTATGCAAACAAAATTTATTTTCACTCGGGTAAGCTATTTAAAAAATTTCGTTTTATGTTGTGTATGTTGTATATAAATATCACGCAAAAAAAAAAATGCCAAGAAAAAAGAAATAAAATTCGCTGACGAAAATAAACAAATAATAAAGAAAACCGAAGTAAACTTATAATCCACAAGGATACGCAATAAATCACAAAGTATGGCAATTTGTTTACTAATGCGTACCAATATTTGCGCGGCATGTATGTGCATGTGTATGTGTATATGTTTGCTGCTGAATATTAAAGTGAGCTTGAAAGTGACTCACACATTCTTAATTAAGCACGCATACATATGAAGAATGAAGAAATGCCACGCCATTTTAGTTGATTTTGATAACGCCCAATCTTGTTTGTGTATGTTTATTTTTTATTTGACAGACGTTAAGATTTCAACTTCATGTTCGAGCGACTACTTTAACGTCTATACAGAGCCTTTGTTGTTGTTGTTGTTTTTGTTTTCCTTATTTTTTAGTCTACTTGACTAATTTGCTTTATCATGTAGTTTAACTTGTCAACACATATACACGAGCAAACAAA